TTCATATGAGAGAGGGGTCCCGGAAGCAGGTGTGTTTGCTGCCTGCCTTCCAACAGCACCTGCTCATCACCTGCCCTCATGCACCACTGAGATGGGCTCTCTCAGGGCTCTGCCCCACTCTCTGTATTTCTTGTGAGCACCTGATGGAAACTTGTGGACAGGATCTGGAAAATGGATACCTAGAACCCATATGTGAGAGGTTCCTAGGGTTCTAAACTCTCATGCAAGCCCGCATTCACCCTTTAGGAATTTGTGAACATTTTAGTTGTCTTCATTCCTACTTTGCCGACTGTTGCCTCTCCCTCCTGTCACTGCTGAAGGCAGATGGTTCGTGTGTCCACCGCTCCCTGGATCAGCTTGTTATCCTCTGCAGTTCAGCTCCTCTGGTTGAATTACAACCTCAGGTCTCTAATGGGTCTCAACAAAGTTATGATTTTACAGATGACCCGGATTTCTCTCGTTGCAGGGTGGGGACCGAATGCTCCTGTGGTTATCTATGGTGTAGGAGGAGGCCAGCTGAGTTTTCCTCTCCCTGTCACCACCACTCTCTATTCCCTTTCTTCGCCTTGTTTCTCTTTATAATACTGAAAACTATCACTATATTGTTTATTTGTTGCCCATCTCCCTCACCAGAACGTAAATTCCATTAAGGCAGAATATTCGCTTGTTTTGTCCATTTCTACGTTTCCAGCACATAACATAGAAACACCATAAAAACTGTTGAGTAGATGCATGCGTGAATGCCAGAGGTCATGACATTTTCTCCAGTATCTTGCATTAGCGTCTTTTCATAAGAATTTACTTCCTCTGAAGCTGTTCTCTCTTCCCTTGTTCTGCCGTATTTTAAATATATCCCATTTCGATTATGTTCTTATTCATCTTTTCATCGGGCAGATCTGTTTGCACTCAGTATCTCCATATGCATCAGTAACAAAGATGGGGGGGCGCGCTTGTCCTCGGGGCTGCTCTCTGTCTACCCTTGATTTAGGGTATCTTGGCTCAGACCCACAGCTGGCCTGCAGGTGGTTGTGTGCAGTGCCAGTCTAATTCTGCATCCTCGCAGGCTGTCATCCAGTGAGTTTCTGCCCTACTGCAGTGAGTCCCCCTGGCCCCCCACCCAACCCAAGGCCCAAGTCTTTGGTGGTCAAGGCTAACGTGTGCCTCACGAATGCAAACTCTGTATTTCACAGCATCACAGATCCCACTCTGCCTTCCTATTTGTTTGTTGTGGCTGCTATTGGCCCTTGCTGTTGTTTTAATAACTTTTACTCTTTCCTGCATTTGGAAAAGATGGTGGTGAGAAGGAAGCTGGAGGGCGGGGAGTTGGTCAGAGCTCTGCCTGCCTCAGGGAGCGGCACACGAGGCGGGTAGAGGAGGGAGCGCGCCACTTCTCTGTTGATGTTACATCTGGTAACAGAGCCAGTGGAGGGATGGTGCATTTTCTTGTCTTTTACAAGGTGGTTCTTTTTTCTGTGTATCTGAGTTGTCTGTTTCTGTTTTGTTTGCTTACATTGGATCCAGACGTGTTGCAATTCCTGCTCATTCCTGCCTGCCCCTGGTACAAGACATAGTGACTTTGATGTGTTTTGCTGAGTTGTCCTTTGTGGGGCTGCGTGCCAGCCAGACGCCGTGCTGAACGAGAACTTGCACACTACCGTTTTCGAGGTGTAGGTTGAAGCCCTTATGATTAGGAAGATTCAAGTTCATTAAAAATTCTACTGAATTAGAAGTAACTTTTTGTCGTCACCTAGTTTTTAAATCAATTAATATTTAAATTGCAACTACTATCTCATGGTGACCCCCAATATATTTTGTTTTTGTAAAAAAAAATTAAAAGAAACTTTATAACCCAAATGGTTTGTAATCATTCTTCTGTATCACTGTGCCAAAGACCATATCCTGTGGGATGTCTTTTAGTTTCCTATCATTCAGAACCATTTTTCCCATCTTTTAACTATTAGTTTAAGTAATAATTCTGGTTTGGAGAATGGAGGTATTTCAGAAAACATTAAGAAGTATGATTGTAAAAAAAAAAATCTAAGTTATTCTGAGGGAAATCTGAAGCTTAAAACAATAGCTGCCTTGATTTAGTTACCCATGTGTTATCTGAGAAAAAGTTGATTGAAACAGATTTTGACACTTTTTATTCACTGGAACTTTAACTTCATTGGGAAAATGGTCCTGAGGGCGGTGAGAATGTTGACTAATTGGTTTGTTCATCCCACATGGGATTACACCGCTTTCTGAATCAGAATTTCCTGCTATTGCAACACGTTTTTTTCTTTATTATTATTTTTTTCCTTAGAAACAATCCATCTGGGTTCATTACATGGCCATTTGTTAGTCTGAAGCATAGTACTTGTTTGTGACTACAGTGAAGTCATAGTGGGCCCGGTCTGTCTGTAAATACAGAGTCAGTGGGAGATCTTGCAGCTGCTCAGGGATGGAGGCAGTGCAAGGGGCCACCCTGATATTTTAAACCGAAAGTCCTGCTTTCCCAAAGTCCTGGGGAATTTTCATATTAATCATCAAGAAGATGTTTCCAGTTTGCTTTGTTTACTACATGCCATACATAGACACTAATCTGTTGATCTTGGTCTTTAAAAACCCTTTTTATTGATGTGTAATGTTCTCAGAGAACATGCACAAATCCTAAGCATATGACGAGGTGCACTTTTACAGACTGTAAGCAATACCGAGATCAGGCAGCAGAACGTGACTGGCACCGGGGCCGCCCAGCTCCTGCCCTGTTCCTGCCACTACGCCTCCACACCATGGGGATCCACTCTCCTGTTGTGCTTGATTTT